CTGAACCAGCAATTCGGATTTGTGTTGGGAGAATTCTGCTCACCTCCCATTATGAGCCTGGAGCCTTGCGGAAGGGGCCTGGCGCCCCAGGCTGTGCCTGCAGCTGAACTTTGAGAACGGAGCTGTTGTCAGCTGTCCCAGGGCTTCCAGGATGGGGGGAGTAGCGCCGAAGAGGCCTAAGGGCACCCCGTGAGGACCCCCACACCCCGAGAGTAGCGGCTGAGGACCCCGGGGCCATGCCTCCACTGCCGCTGGAGCGGGACCCCAGGCAGCAGCGTGGGGTCTCCCTGCTGGTGCGGTATTTCATGATCCCCTGCAACGTCTGCCTGATCCTGCTGGCCACGTCCACGCTGGGCTTCGCCGTGCTGCTCTGCCTCAACAATTGTACGTGGCTTCGGGCGTGGTCACCCGGGGCCGGGTCCCAGTGACCCTGCCTCTGCTGGCTGAGCTCCCCCTGCCTCAGCTGCCAAGGACTGGGGGACAGGCAGCGTCACAGGCCATCTGCTGGGATGCCGCTCAGATGGGCCACCTGCTTCTGGGGACAGGATGGGCTTCTCCGGATCCCTGGACCACTGGGAGCCTGTCCTTGGACTCATGGAAGCTAGCCGTCATCCTGAGATGCAGAAACAACTTTCTTTGGGAGTTGGGGGGAGGGGGCAGCTGGCTGCACGGGGTGTGTGGGCTCTGGCAGGGCCTGGGACTGGGCTTATCCTGGAATGGGTGGTTGCCCACACCCCTGCCACTAGGGCCCCACCTGACAGGTGCCAGGCCATGACAGTGCAGCTGGAGGGGCAGAGAAAAGCAAGGGCTTCTGTTTTTGTCCATCCCCAGGCCTCGTCTGGTCCTCGGGGCTTAGGACGGGGCCAGGGAAGGGATGTGGGCACGCAGGGGCGACCCCCATGGCTGAGCAAAGGGATAGGCTATGGGAGGACCTGCCCAGAAGGGCCTAACTTGGAGATTTCTTTTATTCTAGACAAACCTGGGACCCACTTCACTCCAGCGCCCCCAACACCTCCGGATGGTGAGTGGAGGCATCAGTGGTGGCAGGCCGAGCTTGGGCGTCTGTGCCTGGAGGGGCAGCGGCGCTCTCAGGGGTCAGCGGCCATTCTTGGGGTGTGCGTACCACACGTTATGTGTGTTTGGAGCAGGGAGGCTGGACAAGGGAGCCTGGAGTCCTTCCTGGTGAGACCACAGTGGTGGACAGCAGAGGGGGTATGGGGTCTGGAGTCCTGGGGCTACATCTCAGCTGGTCTCAGTTGTGCACAGGCTCTAACCCCTCACGGCCTCGGTCTCCTTGGCTGTAGAACTAGGAGTAAGTCCTGCGGCCTGCAGGCTGTGAGATGGGTCAGTGTGTGCAGAGGGGCGGGGGCCTCGGCAGGACCAATGACAGCTGTCTGAGGAAGGATTGGAGGGCCTGTCCCTGGGACTGAGCAGGCTGAGGCTGGCCTCCTCCACCCGCTGTGTGGCCAGGGGCCTTGGCCCGCCACCCCCACCCCCACCCCAGGGCCCTGCTGGTATGTAACCAAGCTGATGTGACGGGGGAGAGGAAGCTATTAGTGCTGCAGGGTTGGCCAGGGGCCCATGGGGGGGGAGGGGAGCTCCCAGGTTTGCCTTTAGTACCTGGTCTGGGCCCGTGCTGGGCAGGTACCTGCCCAGTCTGTAGAAGTCGCGTGCAGAGCTGGGTCGGCGGGGGGTGGGGGGGGGCCGGGGCCCGGAGCCCAGGACCGAGTCTCCCGTGGGCTGTGAGCAAGAGGCCCAAGGCCACCTGGGCGTAGTGGGAGGACACTCTCCCCTCTCCCACCGTCCGCAGCCTCCCCCTGAAGCCTGAAAGGCTGCTGTGTTCCCTTCCTCTACACACACACTGGCCCTCCCCAGAGCTGCACACACTGCACTTCAATCCCATTGCACACTTGGCGACAGCTACAGGTCGTGGCCATCGTCATCTATCCAGGCGCACACAGCACACATCCGCGGCCATAGGCAGGGCTCGGGGGATCCATTCCGTCCCCCAGCACACCTGAGACCTGGAGGGGAGTTAAGTGGACCCACTCCAATGGGCGGCTATAACAAGCCACTGCCGCCCCCAGCATTGCACGCTGTAAGGGGGCCTGGGGCGTGCAGGCGTGGCGACTGGGGGAAGCTGAGTGGCTGGAGAGGCTCCTGCAGGAGGCAGAGCTGGGGCAGGCATGGCCGGGCCTCCGAGGCGACCTGTCGGGAATGCAGCCCACCTGCATTTGAGGGGCAGTTTGTATGATGATGGAGAGCTCACACAGTTGTGGCTGGCACACCCGGGGCATGGCTGGTACAGAGAACTGTGCCTGTACGTGTGTGCACACATGTGTGATCACACCTGTGTGCGCACATGGTCTCTGGGCTTGTGCATGGTCTTCGTCCAATCCGGAAGCTTATCTTGAGCCTTTCCGATCTCCTTGTCCCGTGGGCTTGCAGGTGTGTGAACGGGCTGTTGCACAGCATCACGGGAGTGCACAGGTGCCTGAGCACGGCCTGGGGGGGAGCCCATTATGCTCCACACCTTGGCCTGGCCCGAATCGAGCCACTGAGTGCTGCAGCTGCCCTGAGAACCGGGAAACTGTCCCTCAGGAACTGTCACCTTGGCTGGGAGTCAGTGCTAGGGCCTCAGCTCCATGGCCCCCAGAGGTACTCTGGCCCTTCTCCTGCCCTCAGCCACTTGCAGACCCATAGCTTGTCCCAAGGTGCCTGTCTCTGAGATCTCTGGTCTCCTGTCCCTGGCCCCTTGCCTTCCAGTCCATTCTCCAGGCAACCCCCGCTCCAGCACCCCAGAACTGCTCAGCAGGTCTGTCTTGAGGAACAAAGTGGATCACTGGACTGTGGCGGAAGGTGCAGGTCATCCAGGAGTAGGTGTCCTTGGCCAATGGGTTGGGACCTTGGCCAGGGCCTGGTTAGGGCAAGGTGACCAGAGGGAGAAAAAGGCCTGAGCTCCAAGGCCACAGGCACAGCAGCTGGCCGAGGAGCCTAAGGTACAAAGTGACCAGGTACTTGTCCATGGGATCAGGACCCCAAGAGAGATGTTGGTCAGCAGGTCTGGTCGAAGGTCCAGTCGAAGCCAGAAAGAACAGCCAGATGGACGTCGGCAAGTGCTAGGGGTTTGGCCTGGGGGGTCCCGGGGACCTCGGGCGAGAGGGTGCCGAATATGCAAGGGAGAGAGCAGGGAGACCAAGCAGGGTGCACAGTATGAAGAGATGTGAGCCAGGGAGGGGGCCGAGGCGATGGCAGCTGGGGGTAGTGTACGCTCCACACCTGGCTGCGTGCTGCGGACCCACTCAACCCTCAGCAACCCTGGCAGCTAGGTCCCATTGTCCCCTTTCGCAGAACGAGGTACCGAGGCATGGTGGGTGAATGTGGAGTTGGGGGCAGCCTGGCTTCAGGATCTGAGGTGTGGGGAGGACAGGGACTTGGTGGCAGGAAGGGAGCATAGGTGGGCTGGAGGAACCTCGGGCTGGGGTGTCCACACGAGCCCCAGGCTTTCGCTCAGCCTGGTGAGGTGGAGGCGAGGGTACCCAGCAGACATGCGGGAGCCTGCGGAGTGCTGTTGCTGTGGCAACAGCTAGCTCCAGCTTCCTGTGCTCCGCCCTCCTCAGAATTGAGAGTGCTTCCTCCCGTTCCACTTCCTGAATCTGCTGGGAGGTGATAGGGGGAGCCGTCCCACCCCTATAACTTATTAATGATAATTGGACCTGATTAAACATTTATTAGATCCGTACAGCTGCAGCCTATAATGGGCCCGCCCGCCTGTGGACCCGCAGTCCTCGGTGGGGGCCGAAGCAGGCACCTGCCCCCTGTCTGCACGCTGGACCCTGGAGGGCTGTTCCTGGTGGCTTCATTCCTGTACTCAGTGGGACCATGGCACCTCGCCCGTGGCCCGGCCTTGGGCAGCTATAGGGGGTCAGGGGTAGGCTGTGTGCTGGGGACACACGGCTCTCAGCTAGTGTTAAGAGCTGAAATGTTTAAAGACAGGAACGACAGGTCTACAGAGCCCCCGTGCTGGGCCTCCCTGAGGAGGTCACTGTTCAGTGTGAGGGGCGTGAGGACACTTAATGACGTGGGGGATGAGGTGTGGATGCCTGCAAGGCTGGGGGTCCCGGCAGGGTGAGGGGCTAGGAGCCTCGGAACAGGGAGAGCCAAGGGCGGAGTCTTGCGGTATGTGGAAGGTGAGAGTGGACGGCGATGGCGGTGGGGACAGCCTGGAGGGAGAGGCGGCCTGCAGGAAAGTGGGAGGTTACCCTGTGGGGAGCCTGGGGCAGGGCACTGGGTTCCCAGCCTGAGCGGGGGGAGCAGGTGCCCTGACCTCAGACCCTCGCCAGCGGTGGCCGACACCCCCCCCTTGTGTGATGTCAGGCCCTCCAGGAAAGGCAGGGGAGCAGGGCTATGGGGAAGATGGCAGGGGGCAGTGTGGTGATGAGGCCAGGGCGGATGATGTGGGGAGTGAGCAGTGATGGCCTGTGACACGGTTGGCGAGGGGCCGCTTGTTACCTGCTCTGCGTGGGGGTTCCCCAGAGGCAGTCGTGAGATATTCCCACTCCCGCCGGTGGTTGGGTGTATGGGGGCCAATCGGCGAAGGCTCCACCATGAGGAGAGGCCAGGCCGCGATGGGCGGGGTTTGAGGTGAGGCGAACCCTGTACGCCCACGAGAGCGTGCGTAGGTGCATGGCGGGCACACACGTGTCCCTGAGTGCCAGCACCGGCATGTCCCTGGGAGCTTCGTGAAGGACCCGGGTGCACTGCTCCATCTGGTGTCTGGGCGGGGCGCGCGCAGCCGACCGCGGGCCCTGACCCTCCGTCCCCGTTGCTCCCCAGCCTGCCGAGGGATGCTGTGTGGCTTCGGCGCTGTGTGCGAGCCCAGCGCAGAGGGCCTGGGCCGAGCCGCCTGCGTGTGCCGGACGCGCGCCTGC